CCCCAGGGGGGATGGTCACGCCGCAATCCCTTCTCCTCCATTCTCCTCTCGGGATCTTGGGCACGCACGCACACGCGCCCGGCGTGAGTTTTAAGCCACCGGGTCCAGGACGCGAACTGCGGTCGACTACGTGGGAGTCCAGCGACATAGCCATTACGCTAACTGCTGGTTCCCAAGACAGTCCTTTTTAAAAAAAATTGCTAGAGGGTGTATATGCTGGAGAGAAAGGGAGAGGAGTTTTTTTGTTGTTATCACCCCCCAGGGTGGATGGCCATGCCACAGTCTCTTCTCCATTCTCCTTTTGGGATCTTCCATATGCATGCACACGCGCCCATCTTGAGTTTAATCCACTGGTTCTGAGACTTGAACTGCTGTCAACTACATGAGAGTTCAGCAATATAGCCATCATGCCAACTGCTGGTCCCTTGTTATCATTATTAATGATAACACTCTTCATTTGTATAATCTTTAGTTCATTTTTTTCATGTGTGTTCTGTCTGCTTACATCTGAGGATATTGATTCTGCTACTCTAAAGACCTCTTGTGCTTTCTCTAGTAATTCTGATTTGTTGACTCTAAGCTCCTATGTTTATGCTTTTTGTTCTTAATAGAGTTGACTTTTTCGTGATGTTTGGTCATTCCAGAGTGTAATTCATCCTCCTACTTGAAATTCTACTGCTTCTGCTTTCCAGCTCTAGGGAGAGGTGAAGTGTGAGGCTGGGATTTGTGTTCCAGATGTATTTCCCTGAGAACAGGAAAAGGTGGGAGATGGCTCCTGAGGAAAATAATTAAAATGATTGAAACTCAAACTTAGTCACACGAACCAGTCTCAATACTCAGTAGCTGTATGTAGCTAGTGGCTTCCTTATTGAGTATATAACACAGGCGGTGAATTGCACCAACCTCAGCTGTGTGTAGTAAGATCCTGAATTTACAAACAGAATATTTTATTTATTTATTTATTTATTTTTACATTTTTCCACAAGCATTTACTTTACATAGCAAGATATTTTAGCTCATACTCCATAATTCTTGACAGTTTACAAACAACTTTCAAAATTTCAAAATACTGAATTTTAAAGATACAAACAGAATATTGACTGACAGAAGATAAAAAAGAATACATATAGTATGATACCATTTATATGAAGTACAAGAAGCAGCAAAATGAAATTATGTCATTCACACAGTAGGTCATTTAAAAAGCAAGGAAATTGTCATAAAAGTTGGGACAGTGGTTCCCTCTAGGGGATGAGAGAGGGTTGTGATTAGAAGGAGGCACACTGGCTGGGGGCTTCTGGAACGCTAACAGTGTTCTTCCTTGAGAGTGCTACATGTATTTGCTTTATAATTATTAAACAACATTTGTGCTCTGTGTAATTTATGCATACTGTAGTTCTCAAAAAACTTATGGAGAAAAAAAAACCAAATGGTTTCATTTGCAGCCCTGACATAGTTCCATGTGGGGTTTCCAGAATGAGGTTTGGGAAGAGAGGAGGAAGTGGCAGGGG